GTTGCAAGTCACCTCGGCAGCCTTATTCTGTAACTTGCAACCGCAGAGAATTGCGCAATAATCGCTGTCAAGTCGCTGTCAAATTTTCTATTCAAAAAAAGCAACTTGCGACCGGTTGCTGGTTGCTATGTAATTGCTGTTCGTAAAGAATAAGCCTGCGGACGAGCAAAATTCTCTCCTTCACGATTGTTTTTGGCTCTCTCTCTCACTCTCGCCGGGCTCCAACGTGCCTGTATATGGTTGTGTTTTCAAGTCTTCATGTCAGTGGAAAATTTCCTAGCTGCCAGTGTGAATAGTGATAAATAGTCGCCTTGTGGATTTATCTGCATGAACCGGATTAAGCAAGTAAGACCATTACAATTTCTCTAACAGTCGAACAATAAATACTAATCAGTGATTCGCTTGAAATGCACTATAATTTGAAGTGTCTTCTAACGTTCAAACCATATATTTCAAGCTTACGGAACAACACAAAATGTTCGACACAGTCGAAAGCCTTCAACAAGTCACAAAACACCGTTGTTGACAGGTTATGCTCATTTGTATTCAAATAGATATCTTCCAAAAGGAAGAATATCACATCAGATGTTTCTTTACCACAGTGGAAGCCAAATTGATTATCGGAGAAGGACCTGTTTAAATTGAGGAAAGCAAGAGCTCTAATTATGACCAGTTTCTCAATCAGCTCACCAAGTGAATTTAGGAGAGAAATAGGACGGACATTTTCTGGAGAGTCTGAGTCTTCCCCTTTGTGAAGAGATACAACCACTGCATGCTTAAGGTATTAGGAAATATACCTTTGTCAAAGGAGTTATTTATTGCATTTCCAAGCGTACGAAAACCCCTATCGTTAAGATGAAGTAGTAGTTTAATGAATATATCATCATACCCCCAAGAATTTCTGTTTTTGAAGGTTTCTTTGATCTCAGGAACATCGACTAGTAAAAGGAATTTGAGAAATACTTGTCTGTTAAATAGTCTAAGAGGTTGACCCCGGAGTCGAGCTGGGACCAAGTGAGTGTTATTAGAATTGGTAATTTGTTTGGTAAAGTTCTTTTGCAGCTTTGATTAGGTACCTTTCAATAAATAATAAGTCTGACTTTCTAAACAGGGAGAAAAGAAATACACTATTACGGAAAAACTGTCTGAGATAGTGCAGACATCGCATGTTTCTTGCAGATATATTAACTCCTCCGGTGAACCAACCCTTTCCACGTTTTTTTTTTTTCTCCAATTGTGACGATAGAAAAGACTTGATGTTTTGGTCAAGATCACAGTGCCTCTAATGGGTTTCTGGCACTCAGACAATCGAGGCACTTGATTCAATAGCATTGTGACGGAACTAGCTATTGCCCCTTTTTGGGCTTTAGTCAAACCGCACCAGGGATGCAAAAGTTTTTACTTTGACTGATTGTAAAAATTAACCATTAGGTGGGATCATTTAGGCCTTGTATTGGGTTAGGGGTGCCTTGATTCTCATTTATATAAATAAAACGCTGAAATAGAATAGTTATCAATTTAAATAATAAATGAAAGTAATTCGGTATAGTCAGCAATCAAATCCTATCTAAAAATTCCTAATTGGACATCCAGTCGAACTACAAATTTTATACTTATCTAAAGTAAAGTTTTCTAAAGTAAGTATCTTAATTTATAAAAGGTAGAGAAATCTGATAATGATAATATTATCATTTATGGTTAAATGTTCAATGAACGAGAACACAAATTATTGATTAAATGCACGAGAGCACAACATAAATAATTCGTCAACTTAAATCAATTTTCTGTAATCACAAAATGTTTATTAATCCTTGAAAGTTCTTTTATTTATTGAGAGTTAACAATTTGAGCGCTTTCCTGCTGAAGTCTGTAAACAATATGTGCAAAAAAAGTTTTTTTATATGCTCAGTTTCTATATACAAATCTACAAATGTTAATTTCACGAGTGTGAAAACCAAATTTCTGCATTAAACGTTAGAAAACACTTCAATTTATAGTGCATTTCAAGCGAATCACCAATCAGTATTTATTGTTCGACTGTTAGAGAAATTGTAACGGTCTTACTTGGTTAATCCGGTTCATGCAGATAAATCCACAAGGCGATTATTTATCCATTTATCACCACTATTCACACTGGCAGCTAGGGAATTTTCCACTGAGATGAAAAGAAAACACAACGATGTACAGGTGCGTTGGAGCCCGTCGAGAGTGAGAGAGAGCTGCAAGACAATCGCATAGGAGAGAATTTTGCTCGTCCGAGGTGACTTGCAACAATTAGGGAATAATTACATGAATTTTAATCAATAATATAGACCATGTCAGACCTTGAGACACAGAGAGTAGTATTTTACTATAAATCGCGCGTACTAACGAGGGTTTTTGGGGGGTTTTTCTTCTGGAGAGCATTCAGAGGGCGCAAGGGTGCGAACTCTTCACTTATTCTAATAGTACTGAAGAATGTTCGTAGACTAGACTTTGCCAGGGAATCAGGTCGCAAAAATCTAGAAAACAATGTGGCGACTGACCAATCACAGCAGCGAGAAAGGTCCACTGCCTTATAAGGTAATGAAGAAACCAGTAATTTTACCGGTTCAAAGGGTTGTTGTTGCCGGTTTTACAGGATAAATAGTCCAGCAATAGCATCTATTTTTAGAATATTATTTTTATGGTAAATAATAGAGATCGAGATATAAATTAGTTGAAACACGTTTTTAAAACGTTTTGAGTTAAAACGGTTTAACGAGATAAAACGGTTTATGGGGTGTTTATACAAGCGTTTTTTAGTAAACCGTTTTTTGTTGAAACAGTTTAACGAGAAGCATAAACGTAGTCGGTAAACGTATGTATAAAAACCTTACTGAGGTTGTTTCTCTCATTTGCGAATAGACCCCCTCCACAATTTAATTTGTAGCTACCCAAGGAAATAAACACTATCAATAAAACCGCTCCTCACTAATTAATAGTACTAGGGCGGACATCCTCACCACTTGGTATTTTGTTGAAATTCACGTCTTAATTTATTTTGGGGTTTGTACATTATGAAAATATTGATAACGGAGAGGTTTCCCTAAGGGACATTGAGAAAAATGTCAACTGAAAAAGTATTGCCGTGTTTTTGATTATCGGAAAAGCAGAATATATGATGCAGATGGATTCTAAGGAAGAGACTAAATTAACCTAATATTTCCAAAAAAAAAAATTATAACGTTTGATTTGGGATTCTGGACACTAAAGTAGTAGGTCCATATTTTTTTGATAAACATTTGAGGAGCCACATTTATGGTATTTTCAATACCCATCTAAAATAACCCCTTTCTTTTTTATCAATCACGAATCAAATGAAACAAAAAATTACCAACAAAAACGAACGTCAATTGTTAATACGCCAATTTCATCCACATATAGGAAATTCCTAACCTAATTTTATTTGCCTATTCAAGAACCGACATACGTTTAGTCACTAGAACGACTGGTACTTCTAAATAGGTATTGAAAAGACTATATTTTAATTTTTTAAGAAATGGCCTACAAGCTCTCTTTATTGATATTTCTCTTAATTTTATTCAAAACTTTGCGGATTTTCAGCCAGGCGGATTTGCACCAGCACTTCGAGATCGGCGTTGCACTTGCACAAGATATTTAAATTTATTTATACTCAATTCCTGGATTGTTTATAATGGGCCCATCATAAACTGGCCTGCTCGATCACCGGACCCGACACCCATGGATTTACCCATATGGGGTTTTGCCAAAGACCAAGAAGACTTCATTTTAAAGGTTGGAAACGCGTGTAATAAAATTACTTATTTAATTATTAGGTACCTACCTATGTAACAAGAAAAGCAATAGCAAATTCATAATCTCGGTTCAAGCTCATCTTTCGTGGGAAAAATTTTATTTTTATAGATAGTTAAAATGTGATCCCAATGGATTTACAAATACATGAACCACTTAATCTGGTAAAAATCACTTGAAAGCCAAAAAAGTATCAAATTTTATAGCTTAAAGATTATTTTGCTTAGCCCGAAATTGACAAATATATAAGCAAAATTTATGTTTTCCTAGATAAATTAAACTTTACAATAATCTGTCGACTGAACCAGATCCCATGTGGTTGTAATAAGTTATTTAAAGTCAAGGATAATCTTCTGAATACCTACATTTTATGACGAACCCAGATGTCAGGTAATTGATACTGTTGGTGGAAAGAAATTATATTCGAAGCATGTGTGTGTGGAGCGAAGCAATGCTTACATGAGCTGGATTTTTAAGATACAATTACAAATTGTATAGCAATATAATTATCAAGGGTTATTACTTCGGTGGAATGTAACTGTAAGATAGTCAAATGGTTAGTTATAATTAAGATATAGGTAGGTTAAGATAGGAGTGATTGCTCAATAATTTTATTATTGAACTATTAGAGGATAATTTTAAGATGTGACAGAATTATTCACGTTACCAAAATATCAATTCTTACATAACATCTCAATTTTGTCACACCTATATCAGGAGTAAATGGCTATTTTTTTCCAATTCAACCGAACTCGTATATTTTACTGTTCCCAAGAAAGCAATATTGGGATATGTATATTGAAGACCCTGTATAGTAGGTAATTAACTAAACTCTATTATTACCTTTTCATCTCTCATATTTCTTTTTTATCAGTGTCGTTTAATGTTTAAGCGACCTCGCAATAGCCAAAAAAGTTTTAAAAATATAATGGAAACTTCAGACTGAACGGTTTTTTGTTGATAACGACTCTCGACTCGGCTACATAATTATTTTGCAGGGTTGTTTTATAGGTAATTATTTTGTCGTTTGGCCTGGATCAGCTGCTGGACCGAGGATTAAAAAGGGACTATTACGAAAATTATCCCTTTCGAGTTTTCATTGATTAATTATATACGCGGTTACCAAGGCAAGTATTAAGTGAACTAAAAAAGAATCAAAGTCACTTTTGATTGATCAGCAAGAGCAAGCAATTTATATCAAAAAGTTACTTACATTGTAATTTTTCATCTAAGTTGCCTCTCGACGTCACGGATAATGCCCTGATGAACTCTTCGAATTCTATCGAACCATCCTGAAATCACAAAAGAAACTCTTAAACTATAATTTCCTCATCTATTAGGGCTTAAAACTTGTTACAAAAAAAGTGACAAATAAGGTATTAAATTCTGCTAAATTTAGTTACTGTTAGGTGGTAATTTAAGTAAAACACTCGCCCCTAAAAATCTATTTTGTGGCAAATGATGCATTTTGTCACGCGAAAAAGTACTTAATTTTCAACCTCGCTGGGTGGGGTTGTTTTTAGCTTTTTACCACTATAGCCTTTGTGATTTAATAAATTAGCCATGACGATAAATCAGCAGCAAAAAATAACGGTGAACATTTTAATACAGAAAAAATTTGTCAAAAGAAGTTTTCGTTCGGTCCGGGGCGACCGATAAATCAAGTCGTGTGACTCTGACTTTCGTTTTCTATTATTGGCTAATGTTTTTTCGATTTTTATTTCCGGGCGGGACTGGATAGAAAGACTATTGTGTTTCGTGAAGTTTTATCAGTGTATAATAAAAATTGATTGAATGAATGCTATATCGGGATTATAAAGTTCCTTTATTTTTATCATGAAAGGAGAATTTTATGATGAGCATAGTAACTCAAGTCTTTTTCACAATGTCATGTTTTCCAACAATAAATAAAGATTAGAATAAACTGAAAGAGTTATTTATTACCGAATATGAATTATTTGTCTGGCAAATATAAGCTGTCAGGTCAACTACTCTACACTCAACACTCAAGTGCATTTTCTTTAAACTAAAACAACCCATTTTGAAGTTTCCACTTTCCAGCTTAAAGTTTGTCCAATTAAAATACTTTTGTGCTTTTCAAAGCGGCGCCCTTTTCGCAAAAGGTCCACTCCATAAGGGCTACAAAATGGCACGGCATCTAACGAGCGGCACGAAAAGGGGTTTAAAATATTGCAACCTAGCATTCTTATAAAATATAAAATGTACTTACGTTATTTTCGTCGAATACTCTAAATACTAAAGATGCGAATTTCGATGGATCGCCTTGCGGGAAGAACTGTTTGTAGATTTTGATGAAGCCCTAGAAAATAGATTAGTTTTATTTTAATGAAAATCGTACATCAAGATTGGAAAGTGTGTCATTCAAATCAAATAAAAAAAGGTTTCAGGGGGTTACAGGTTTAAAAGTGAACAAAGGTTTCTTCATTGTGTGTCTTTGGATAGTATTAGTCATTAGGTCACGTTTTTCTGTGAAGATGGAAAAAGCCAAGTAACCCATTGAAAATTAACGAAATGGTTTCCTGCGGATCTACAAAGATGTTAATGAGATGCTTAGAGACGCGATATGTTAAATATACCAGGCAATATACGAGTACTAGATGAAAAGTTTGCTCGATGTTGAGATGCAGTTGGCTAATAAAATATCTTGAAGTATTATAAATTAGAGATCCAAGTCGAACTCCTGAGTAGCGGTAAAGCTAGTTCTATTTCTTCTACTAAGTATCCGTAATCCGCCTAATAAAAATAAGTTAAAGCTACTGTGGCGACCCCTAAAATCCCAGAAAATATAACTAAACTCAATTGGTAAAAGCATTTTTGTAGTCATTTTAATTAGAAAAGTACCTACGTCAGTTGCAAGATAATTTAATCTCATTTTATTTAATTTCCCAGAAAATCCAGCATCTAATTCCGTATAAGAATAGTATAAATAAAAATTGACGAAATTTCTAAGCTCAACTCGATTACATAATAATTTTTTTACCAACACAAGCGATAAGCGAGCGGATGTCAGAGTTCGATGTCCCCAATTAATAGACTCGTGCGACATTCCGATAAAAAAAAAATCAATAACAAATTTATAAAATTAGAACGCGTTTAACCGGAAATCACTATACTCATGTGATTTAATTGCGTCATAACTGATAAACTACAACACCGGTTTTTCCGCCGGATGTTGCATCATATCCTAAATAAAAACTAAAAAAAAAAAACAATTCTTGGAAAACAACAATGTCGTTTATCACTCGATAAACGAGGTCAAATAAGAGGATTGGTGCGAGAAATGCTAAATGACCGCCTATGTAACAGATTTTTGGTGGGAATTGAGTACTATTTAAGCAGGTTACAATAAAAAAAAAAAGAACATCAAGCAGTTGATTTCATAGTAAGATTTTAAGAATCAAGAAAATCGGCAGTGAGTTGAGTATCCACCAAAAAGTTTTTTTTTATCTTTATTTTGCCTCGGGCAAAACGCTAAAAAGTTTGCGATTGACTATTGTCCAGTAACAGTCATGAAGTAGTATCAGGTTTTTTTTTTTCGTTTGTGCGTGCTAAGTATGAATTTTGAAGTGCGAAGTAGAAATTTGAGACTCGTATTTACCTATTAGTGAATTGATTTTAAGAGAACTGTCTTAGGAACTTTACTGAAAATGTATTTGATTTTCGGAGTGAAATGACATTTGAATCAGCAACAGTAAAATAGAATGAATTTGACTATTGCCAACAATTTGAAGTGAATTTATTAAAAGAAAAATTGGAACTTGATTTTAAGTGAACTTTCTAAGGAACTTTACTGAAAGCTTAATTGTTTTTGATTGAAATGACATTTTTATGTTGAATAAAATATATAATTAGGAAAACATAATGAATATGACTATTGCCAAATTATTTGAAGTGGAATTTTCCAGAAGTTTTAATTCAAAAATAGAATTTTGAATTCAAATATTGGATTGTTACTACATCGTTTTTGAAGAAATTGATAGTGCTGATTTAGTAAATGAACTTTTGTGTGAAAACTATTATACAGTTGTTTCTCTCATTTGCAAATATACCCCCTTCACCACTTAATTATGTAGCAACCCGAGGAAATAATTAACATCAAATAGTATCGCTCGCCATTTACCATCTAACTCATTAATAGAGTATTACTTGGGTGGATCGCTATACTACCTAGGATTAAACTTGAAAAGTTTGGTGGTGAAGAAATGGCTGTTATTCTGGAGTCAATTCCAGTATTTGTTACAGTCTACGATTCCGACTTCACGCGTGCCCACCATTCAGTCAACAGTTACCTTGCTACCAGTGGAAATTATCCCAAGTTCATAGCTAGTATATGAAAGCACGTTTTGATCGACAAGAGGTCTGTTTCCACAGAAATCACAAACCAGTCAGAGCGATTTTGATTGGTCCAAATCGCCAACAACCAGTTTCCTGACTATTTTCAACTAATGGAATTCGCTCTGACTGGTTTGTGATTTCTGTGGAAAGTGGAAACAAACTTAACATGTTCTGGTGGAATTTTATGTACGAGAGCTTCTTAAGCTAGTTTTTAGTAATTTGAATAGTAATAATAGGCTTTCCAGTTTTTACGATAAAATGGAGTCTCTGTCACTTGCGTCGGAAGCTTAAGATGTAATTTCTGATAATTGCACTACAAGGTTATATCCGTCGAATCAAGCTTAGGTGAAGATTTGATACGTACATGACAATGAAGTCAACTTTATATTGACAATTCGACACTTCATGAAAGACTAGAGGTGCTGATGGAATTTTTGAAGAAAGACGCCGAAAATGAAGACACAATTGCATTTAGCTACTTCTCTATGTGAAAATGAGGTCAAAGAAAAGAGGAAATTCGATAATCCTATGATGTTTTACATACAACTGCTGATTTATTATTGAACAAGCATTTCTTTAAATGTACTTTTTGTAAAGACCCCCACATTAGTGACAAGAAGCGGTACCTAAATCCTTAAATGGAGACTTTCAGAAAAGAAGAAAGTGGTTGCTGTCATTTGTGTCTGGAATTCGGAAATATCGCTCGAAGCTGTAGAGTCATGGTCACTTGTTCAACTCAACTTGCTATAGAAGACACGCTACCATTGTAGGTATGTCCAAAACATGAACATTCAAAATCAGATGGAGCAGAGGTTTGCGAAAATGTTTCAGGCGCTGAACAGTCTCTGTTAAATCAGGAGGTTTTCTTACAGACAATAGTGATTGAATTAAAAAATGCTGATAAAACACGTCGTGCAAGAGTCATCTTTGATAGTGGATCTCACAGGTCTTATATAGCTTCCTCACGCTGGAGAAATGAATTATGATGTAATAAGACAAGAATAATTAATTCACTCTCATTTTGGAGAGTCCATGGAGTGAATCATAACTGTTATTGTGTGCGCATGAAGAGTCTGACAGAAGACTAGGCTTGTAATTTTGAAGAACTTAAGAAATTGGGTGTACAGATAACGGAAACTGAAGATGAACGATGAACCAATGGACGTTTTAGTTGGGGTTGATGTCATGGCAAAACTTTCAAGTGGAAGAAAGCTTGATTTGAGCTGTCGTCTTACTGTTATGCATACTCTTCTGGGCTGTCGTTAATGGGGAAGGTTATTTCAATTCCCACGCTATTCCGAAATCTTCAACAATGGGTATAAACTCTATGCTTTCAAGTAATTTTGCTATAACAAAATTATGGAATTTAAATGTACTGAGAATTCAAGATCCCCAACTGTAAAAAGAAGAGAATACGGAAGGTACTGAAGGTAGAAAGTCGAGATGCCATGGATCGAACCCATTATCCACAAATTATAACTTAGCACATAGAAGACTGATTTGGGTGACGAAGAAATTGCGAACTTCTTCTTCTTCTTCCAATGCGTATCCACTAATGGATATTTGCGATAACATTTTCCTATTCCTTGCGGTGTGTATTAAGGACTGCACATCATGTAGCCCTGTCCACTGTCTGATATTTCGCAGCTAAGACATTTTCTTTCTTCCGATCCCTCTCTAGCCTTCGATCAATAGGTGCAAGAATTGGTATTTCGTGTTTCGTATTATATGTTCCAGATATGCCGTTTTTCTCTTTTTAACATATTCAAACAGTTCACGTTGTTTATTGACACGTCTTAGGACTTCTTCGTTTGTTAGTCTAGCCGTCCAAGGTATCTTAAGGATTCTGCGATACAGCCACATTTCGAAAGCTTCTAATTTATTAATTGCAGTTACCTTTAATGTCCAATCTTCCATACCGTAGAGGAGCACTGATCAAACGTAGCATTTAATGAATCTGAGTCTTAGATTAAGGTTAAAATTGGAACAGGTTCGGAACCTCAAGAATGCCTGTCGAGCTTGTTCAATGCGACATTTTATTTCCTTGTCTGATGTCCAGTCTTCGAAAAGCCAGACGCCCAAGTACTTAAACTTATCTACTCTCTCTATGGGCCTTGCATTAAAGGTTATGGTGGAGTTTTCAAACATATTTGGGTTTCTAGAGATAATCATAAACTTTGTTTTTTTGGTTTTGATATTTAAACCCATTGATTTGCTCTGTTTTCCTACCTTGTTGACTAATTGTTGTAGGTCGTGTATGTTATCAGCAATTAAGACCGTATCGTCAGCATAGCGGATATTGTTAATCCACACTCCATTAATTTTAACTCCCATTTCCACATCTTCCAAAGCCTCCTGGAAAATCGTTTCTGAATATGAGTTGAACAGGAGCGGAAACAGCACACATCCCTGTTGCACCCCTCTTCTAATCTGTATGGTGTTGGACATATTATTGCCTAATTTGATTTGCGCGGTTTGGTTCCAGTATAGGTTTCCAATGCATCTTGTTGCGGAAATAACCCACAACAGGTTTAATTTTTATTATTTCTAATTTAATATATCTCAATTTCTATTATTTACCATAAAAATAATATTCTAAAAATAGATGCTATTGCTGGACTATTTATCCTGTGAAACCGGCAACAACAACCCTTTAAACCAATAAAATTACAGGTTTCTGGTTTCTTCATTACCTTATAAGGCAGTGGACCTTTCTCGCTGCTGTGATTGGTCAGCCGCCACATTGTTTTCTAGATTTTTGCGACCTGTTCCCCTGGCAGAGTCTAGTCAACGCATATTCTTCAGTATTATTAGAACAAGCGAAGAGTTTGCACCCTCGCGCCCTCTGAATGCTCTCCAGGAGCAAAAACCCCAAAAACCCTCGTTAGTACGCGCGATTTATAGTAAAATACTACTCTCTGTGTCTCAAGGCCTGACATGGTCTATATTATTGATTACAATTCA